ACCCATGAACGCAGGAGCATCAGGAAATGCTTGAGAACAACAACTGTTGTTTACAGGTTTTAACATCCTCAAGGTCAAGGAGTCACATCTTTTCTGAATGGGAGAAAACAGATCTTTGGAAATCAAGCCTTTGCATCTCAAAGTGCATCTTCCATGATCCTTTCTAGGTGAACTTGCTGCAGTGTGAACTACAGCAGTTTGTGAATTGGGCACTATTAAAAAGTAAGTGGAATAAAAAGAGTTTTCTTAAGTTACTAAAAACAAAAACTAAGAGGAACTCAGTTTTTGGTTTTCTTAAATTTAAAGGGTTTGTCAGAATTCTTAAGACGGTGTTAGTTCCTAGTAGGCAAAGCTCACGTTCCTGGAGCCCCAAGGGGGTGTTAGCTTTGAACTTGCTTCCTGTTCCTCTTGACAAGCTCAGACTTTGCACTGGGCAGAACAAACGAAAGCACAAGAGAAAAATAATTAGTCTTTAAATTTTTGAAAAAGAGAAGATAAATCTGCTTTATCATTATGAGTACATCCATCAAGTGCAGGTAGTAAAATTTACTATTCAGCTCCACAACTCCAATAAAAGATCCCGTAAGGATCAGGAAGGCAGTGTTGGAAGAAATTGAGAGATGTCTGGTCACAAAAGCAACACTCAAACATTGGCTGGGCTCCTCGATTGGAGCATGAAGGAGATTTTACCTCCCAGAGTGCAGAGAAGAGAAGGTGGAGCCACTGTATTTCATATGGGTAATGAGAGGTCAGAAAATCAGGGACCAGAATTGATTTTTAGAAATTATTCTTCATGATGAAAGTGATAAAGACAGATCAATTCCATATTTAAAGGCATAGGACTGATCTCCGGGAACTAGAGAAAACATAAGATTATTTCCACCAACATTTGTTACATTGCAAATGTTGTCACTTAGTATTTGGAATCACTGGGGGAGGGAAGGGGGAATGGTCTTTATCAGGCTAGTCCAGCATCTACAATAGGAGTTGCAGGGAGGGATGTGAACATGAAGAAAGAGGATGGGGTGTTGGGCACATTTCAAATAATTATAAGACACGGGTCCTATAAAGGGTTTGCATGCGATATAGCAGAGGAAACCCATATGTCTACCCTGAAAGACCACCGGGAAGGGAATTGACAGCCTGCCACGTCAGGCACCACACTGGGCACTTAATGTATGTTATCCCATATGAACTATCCCATGGGTGGATAAAATATTCCTTTTTACTAATAGATAAAATGCCATTCAGAGTTGTTTAGCAAACAGATATACTTTGTCGGATGTACTGAATGTCAACAGCGTATTAGAGACTTTTAAAAGACAAAAGAGATTGATTCCTAAAAATCATTATGTATTCACATATAATACAAATTATGTGAAATGTGCCTCTAACTGTCTGCTTAGTCAATAGATCTTGTTTGGGCTTTATAACAGCCTTTTGCCATATTGTGCCTCTTGTGAAGGCCACAGCACAATGCTTATGATACAAGTAGACTCAGTAGGTTCAAACCCCAGCTCCACCACTCACTAGCTAGAGGTCTTTGAACAAGTCACTTAATCCTCTTAAGTCTTAGTTTCCTCAACCACAAATGGATGCTAATGTTATCACCCTACATGCAAAATCACTCAATGAAAGTTAGATATTAAATTGGTCTATTTTCTCTTCTGCTCCCCCCCCCCAACACTTTGAATAATATCCAGCACAGAGGACATAATCAATGACTATTTGCTAGTCATTTGTTAGAAATTGGGGATTTATTATTCTCCCTTGAAAATTATGTATTTTTTTTCCTGTAAAGGTTTACTCGTCAATTATCCTCCATGGCAGACATGAGTAAAAAGTATGAAAGGGTCACCCATTGTCCAAACTGACCTGTTTGTGTGCAGGGGTGGCAGGCCCTCACTCAGAGGTGAGAAAGTAAGAATCAGACACCACGGGAAGAGGCAGCAGGCTCCCTGCTAGATGCTGGCTTCCCCTGCAGTGCGTTCCCTTTCAAAGAACTGAGAGTGCATTCACTGGAGGTCACTTTCTCCCATTGGGCCTTTCTATGTCTCCCCTCCCCAGGCATTGATTCCAGACATTGCAGGGATGAGCAGAGCAAAAAAGAAAGAAATAGAGTCGTAACTGCCCCCACTGAGCCAGCAGGAAGACAGTGTGAATCTAGATAGCTCAAGGTCATTATTTCACTCACAGGAAACCCTGGGCGATGGACGAGTACATAAACATGAAATATACTTGGGCCCAGACTCCATAATTCTAATTGTTTATGAAGAGATAATGAGCTGTCTTCATTTGTCCTATTTAAGAGCTTATATGCCATTGCAATGAATTCTAGTAAAATGTCCAAAGTCCCTACTGGAGACAAAGATAACATGTATTAAGAAACTTTCTCCGGCACGGTGTTTTACATACACTGTTATATTTAATATTCCCCCCAAACCCTTGGAAGTGTTATGACTCCAGTTTTCAGATGAGGAGTCTGAGGCTCAAATGCCTTCAATGAGCAGCTTAATCTCCCAGCTGGCTGACCCCTGCTGTTGCCCCAGTTCAGCCTGGCTCCAGAAGTCTTCATCTTGCGCCATGCATCCATGCAGGAATGTTGCGATAGTAATGAAAGAGCATTTTTCATTTGAATTTTTCGTTTGAAAGAGCAAACCTCCAGAGGATTTAACCCTTTTTCTTGGTATGTGGAATTTTTATTCTTGGTAATATTTGCAATGAAGGCAACTTGATCAATACTTAATCAAACCACATTCTGTTCCTCCATTAATGTTTTCCTGAATCCTTTTTCGATACCTATCTCATCCTAACTGACTCATTAAATAAATGTATCATTAAATGGACACACCAAATGTTTGCTATATAGATTCTTTTCATTTGAAGCTGATGCTTTACCACTCACATATCTGTTTTCACATGAACCAATTCATTGAATTCTTAAACTCCTGGGGTAAATTGGTTTTCTCCTGCTATTCTCTAGTGGAAAGTTTAAAGATACGCAAGTTTTTAGTAGTGTGCCATTCTTCCTCCAGGCCCGGTGCCTTATTCCTTGAACCATGCCAACCTACTACTGATGACATTGCACTTGGAACCTGCCCAGCAGATCCCATTTCCTCCTTCGGAGACTCCCTGTCAGCACACGTGTGTCAGCAAAGTCGCTGGGTTGGTGGTTCGCTGTAGCTAAATATTTGTTGTAACTGTGCACATTAACAGCCACACACAACAATTAAACCCAAATTAATTTCCTCTGTTAATACATGCCGCAGAATTAAATTAAACCTCAACAGAAAACAGGGCAGACTGTAACTATTAATTCTTCTAGTGAGTAACAATGATTACTTTTGCCAACGGTTATTTCATTTGCATGTATAACGTTACATCTCAAATTTTCACATACCAGTGACGATTCTCACTGCTTTGCCAGGTTGAGAGTCAGGAAGCATGAGGTCAGATACTCTGTCAGGAGAAATGTCCATGGATCCAGTCCAGGAGAAAACGTGGAGCAGCTGGATTCGTTACCTCTGGTGCCGTAATTCACAATAGGATCCAATAACTACAAATGTGTGTGTGGAGTTAGCAAATACCCCATGAACGGCTGAAGACTAATTTCATGATATATAGAATACGCCTACAAGTTGCATATGGAAGTCTCCAAAAATAACTGTCTACCTTTCCATATAATTATTTAAGGGATCAGTTATAGTTTTCTCTGATGGGAAAATTATGTTTATAAATGTTCATTTATGTTCATATTTTGTTTGTAATATGTTCATTGCTTTATTTTTTCCGTTGATTCTTATCAAAGACATTTGATGTGCCCAGAGTTGTGCCAAACCCCAGGAATATAACAGCATAAAATAGGCCCAGCTTCTTTCTTCAGAAAACTTGCTTGCTGTGGGAGACAGATGCATCTGTGACTGATAATTAATTAGTTAACACCAAAAATAATTAACTAGTAATTAACTAGTCAGTACCAAAAGTAAAAGGCCATAGTAGTTTCGGTACCTAATATGGATCTGGCACTCATTAGATAGTAAAATTTTGGACAAAGCTTTCAACAACTCTAAACCTCAGTTTCCTAATTTGTAAAAGCTGATGTGAATGCCAGATAAAAGCATTTGATAATTACATTAGCTTCACTCACTGCGTCTCTGTATATGCCAAGAACCGTGCTAACTGCTCTGTATTTTCTCTCTCTCTTTTTTTTTCCTCTCAGCAATTCTATAAAGTAAAATTAATAGCATCAATATTCCCATTGTAGAGGGCTAGAGAGGTTATAGCTAGTACATACTAAAGGCATTTTTCCATTTGCTTAAGCAGACTTTAGAAATATTCTTCTTAATCATTATTTCTGTCAGTTACATACAGCATTCAGATTAGACGTCAGTATACTTTTCCCTCTATGTAGTCAGCACTCAGGACATTCATTGAAAACTTGAAATGAGTAACCAACCTTTTTCCTTTCCAACTTCCAGCTGACTTTTTATGTTTTAACTGATAGCTCAGTCATAACAAAAAGGAAAAAAAAAAAAAAAGAAACTCTTAATGACAAAAATATTGTCTCCAGCGAGTGAGGTTCTACAGTTTTCATTGAAGCATCTGTTATTTCTGGGAGAAACATATGTGAACTCCAGCGTAGAGCTGTTTATTGGCAACTGATTAATATTTCCTTGGCTGTGAGTTTATTGAGGAGTTGAGAGTTCTTATAAATAGAAACTAAAAGATTGTCATCCACTCACTATTCAATTACCAAGTTGTCTTATTGCAATAAGGAAAAAAATCTGTGACTTTGGATTAGGAATAGCAGCCTATAAGTAAGTAAAGGGATTATTTATCTTTATAGTGTCCTGACAAATAATGTTTTTCAAGAACTGATTAAATAATGAATTGAGTAGATTAAACAATTGGATACAGAAAAAAAAATACTATAAACAAATCCTGGAGCTCTTTGATTATTTCAAAGTATATTGCTAGGATCAAGATCCTATAAGACACCATGCGGGGATTGACAGCACACGTACCAAAATTGGACGACACAGAGAAGAGTAGCATGGCCCCTGAGTCAGAGTGACAGGCAAATTAGTGAAGTGCTCCTTATTTTTAAATGAACACTCCTGCACTGTTGGTGGGACTGCACATTAGTACAGCCTTTATAGAAAGAAGTATGGAGAGTTCTCTAATAAACTATTTGATTCTGCAATCCCTTTACTAGGTATCTACCCAAAAAGAAAAAAAAATCATTTTACTGTAAGGACATTTATGCTGAAATGTTTACAGCAGCCCAATTCATAGTTGCAAATATGTGGAAACAACTCAAAATGTTCTTCAACACATGAATGGATTCATAAACTGTGGCATATGTCTACCAGGGAGTACTACTCAGTCATAAAGAAGATGGAGATTTTATATCTTTTGTGGCAACCAGGATGGATTTGGAGAACACTCTTCTAGTAAAGTGTCACAGGAGTGGAAATACAAACATCCCACGTAGTCAGTCAATTGAAACTAGAAGAGTAACAACTGCTGCTCACCAATTGAAACTAGAAGAGTAACAACTACTGCTCACGTGAGAGGAAAAGTCAATTAAACTCAAGAAGCAGGGAGGGAGAGAGAGGGCTCAGCAAGTTCCCACCCAGGAAGTCTGCAGGGGTGTACGGCATACTTCCTGAGTGAAGGAAATGACTACGGCTCAACTTGGACTTCACCTTACAGGTGTAAACAACATAACTTAATCATGTGTACCCTTATATTATCTGGAAAAAAAATCCTGTAAGCTGTTTATATTCAACGTTCCCATGAACCCTTATACACAAATAGAAAATGTGGCGACTGCAGGGTTGGATCTCTTTGTTACAGATTATTTGTACAGGCAATTGACTCCGGTTCTTATCAAACTGGGCCAGAATTAACCTTCTGGTGTTGATCGATCCTCTTTCTCCCTTGGAGTGTTTATGTGGCTGCTTTCCATTTCTCATGAGCCAGACTTTTTCCCAGTGGCTCCTGTTCTCTGTGGTCATCCACAGGGCATCAGAGAGGTTACTGTCCTGGAGTCAGGTGTGATGTAGGCAGGATGTGCTTCTTGGCAGAACCAGATAGCGGTGAGCATGGATCTAAACTTCTTTGAACACTGAGAAGTTCATTTTTTAAAATGCCAGTTTTGGTTTGTTTTCCTGGGAATGCAGGTCCAAAAGGCATTCTCTGGCATTCTCTTTTTCCTGCTATAAGTACAAAGGGAGCACATGGCCCCCACAGATGCAGAAAATCTTCTTCGGACCCAGAGAGAGGTAGCTTTAAAGTGTATACAGGATGAAGAAAGGCAGAGGGAAAAGAAAAAATTTTAAAAAAATAAAAATAAACCATATAAACCACAACCTCATTATTAAATTGACTATTCAATTCTATTGAATTCTATTAAATTCTATTAAATTTACTATATTAAATTGAAATAGGTTAGAAGCACCATTAGGTATTTTGTTTGTTTGTTTTAAGCTGGGGCCAGGTTTGAACCCACTACCTCTGGTATATGGGGCTGGCACCCTACTCCTTTGAGCCACAGGTACCGCCCACCATTAGGTATTTTTTATTATGATTATTATTATTACAGAAGCCAGTGAGTTTCCTTTATCATTAAGGCAGTGTTATTTGGCTTTTCTGTTACATGCCTGATCATGGACCTGCTTGCAGATATACCTTATTCAAAAGTATATTTGAAAGGCCTGTAAATACCTATTATTATATAGGCCAATGATTTTCCTTTACCATTAAGGTGGTGTTAGTTGCCTTTTCTGTTACATACCTGATCATGGACCTTCTCGCAGATATACCTTATCTAGAAATATATTTGAAAGGCCAGTGAATATACGTCCTTCTCTGCATGTGATGAGCTTCCTTTTCCAGTTCTCAGACTCATGGAGCCCCTTTGATTTTCTTCTTCCCATCTGGTGGGTGGATTAAAATATGTCAACCATAGGAGATCCCAACCCACTGTGTTAATAGTCAACTGTATTGGTTTTGGAGTCAGATCTTGTTTCTAATCCAGCCCTTTTGAGGGATCAGTTTGTGTTGTTTCTGCCCCAGTTTCTCTTAGTAATGGTGTGAGTGCATTATGGGTGTCATAAATTAGTAGCTTAAACATGACAAATTTATTATCTTCCATCTCTGTTGGTCAGAACTCTGATGTGGGTCGCACTACCCTAAATCAGCCAGACCCTGCTCCTTTCTGTAGGCTCTGAGTGGGTCTATTTCCCTTTCCAGCTTCTAAATTTCCCCCACATCTGTTGGCCCTAATCCCTTTCTCCTTCTTCTCAAACAGCCTCCTCCTTGTCTGCCTACCTCTTGTACATTTAAACACCTTTGTGATTTCGTTGGGGTCACCCAGGTCATCCAGCAAAATCTCCCTATCATAAAAGCAGCTGCTTTCTAATTCCACCTTCAGGCTTAATCCTTCTTTGCCATTAAACGTAATACCTTTGCAGGTTCCAAGGATTGGGATGTGGACCTCTTTGGGGGGCATATTCTGCAGACCACAGTACTTCTTTGCAGGCTTGTTGTAAGAATTAAATGATATAAAGCATGAAAAGTGTTTTATACATAGTGAGTGTGCTGTAAGTCACAACTAATATTATTAAGAATGCTGCATTCATGGGGAAAGAAGGAAAAAGTGAGGTGCAGTCAGTTCCTTGCTCTGCCTAATACTCCAGTGAGAAGTGCGTGAGGAGTAAGCACTGTCCTTCCTACCTTGTACGTTTCCATGTCAACCCTATTCCCAAGTGGTCACCACTTTTGCATTTTTCTTTCTTCCCAGTGCCAAGATTTCTGGCTGCTGGTCTCACTTGAACCCTGTTCAAACTCCTGGCATGCTGATTACAGACCTTTCTGGACTTTGACAGAGCAAGCCTGGATTAATCTCACGCACTCTGATAAATCATGAAACCAACTGGTTCAGGAAGATGACTGCTAACACCTTTCGCATGCAAACCATTACATTTTTACAAAAAACGCCAAGGTTCTAAACCCAGTGTTCCTTCACTCATTAATTTGAATTGAATCTCTGTGATATTTGCCCTAGTATTACTATTATACTTATGAAATTACTAAGAATTTTTTAAAAGATTTTTAAAATGATTCCCTTTCAATGAAACTTGTTTTTTAAAGAAAACTTTATATCACCACCTAAAATTAAAAAAAGCAAACAAAAAAATGACCATAACTTTCCAAGATAGAAAGTAATAAATAAATATCAGGAAATGAAAACAGTGTCAGAGTCAGATGGTCAGCTGCTTGCCAAGATTCTGTGCTGAGGGACACAATTACAGTCATCTAGAAAACCCATAAACCCAGATAATCTCTTAACGTGGAACTGATAACTAATTGTGGATTTAATGGGATATTAAATTCAACCCTACAAATCAGAGAAAATGCGTATTCTATAATCCTACCATACCGTGTGGGTGAAACTCATAAACAGGAAGTTGTCTCATAAAAGAAAAACAAACACAAAAGAATACAGGTTGTATGATGGCAATGCACTTACGTGAGGTTCAAAAACCAAGAAAAAACAGTTTAGGATGGTAGAAGTCAGGATTGCCTTCCTTCTAGAGGTGGTATTGCCAGACAGTGATGCTCAGGGGACATCCAAGGGCTGGTGAGGTACTATTTCTTAGCCCAGGTCCTGGTACACAGGCATGTTTATTTCATATTTAATCGATTATACATTTAGAATGTACTTCTCTGTGTTTTTGGTAGATTTCAAAGAAAATTTTTCTTTATAAATATTATCTCCACAAACATACACTCTAGCAACAAACTCAGTTGTACTCCTCAGTGGAATCTAAGGATTTCATCATTACGTGTTTGAAAACACTACCTTGAAGGAAGTTCTAGCGCTCAGTAGAACAGTAGGGTGAATATAGTCAAGAATAATCAACTGTTATTCCGAAACAGCTTGAGAAAAAAATTCGGGATGTTCCCAACACAAAGAATTAATAAATATTTGAGGTATTACAGATGACAGTTAAACTGATTTGATAATTACAGTGCATGTATAACTGTGTGCATGTATCAAAATACCAGTGTACCCCATAATATGTATAATTATTGTGTATCAATAGAAAAATTAGCAGAAAATTTTTTTATAAATTAAATGCCCTACCTCAGGCCTGAGAAATGATGGCATGAGTGTCCACCTCTGAGCAGAGAAATGATGGCATGAGTGTCCACCTCTGAGCAAAGGAGCACCCAGCTCTGCTTACAAACATTTCCCCCGAGGCTGGGTTGGTCATTCTCCTCCATCCCTGTAGGGGACCATGGGCTTACTTGGACCTTAGCATCTGTCTCTCTGTATTTGATGTGACTATTTTCTAGGCAGGAACTTAGCTTTTAACGGTAGGAAATTGGACCTCCCAGGATACCTGACAGATGGGGAGAGGTTGTGCTATTAAAATCGGGGAGTGAATGGATGAGAGTGTGGCTTATTCCCAGGGTATGAGCTGAACTGAACTGGTGGAAGGGAATCTGAGGAGAGCAATTGCACGTAAATTCTGACACTGGCATGTTCACAAGTTTGGGGAGAAAGGAGGGCTGGAGTACTAATGATCAGCTGGGAACCCTTTGGAGAACAGTGGCTTTTACTTAGTTCTTAAGGAGCCTTGAGTGGAACTGTACCAGACCTGGCAGATTTTACTAATTTTACTAAGGGAGCACTGGAGCTGTAATGTCAGTAATGATAGCAAATGTGTGAGCCGCGTGGGCCTATTAAAGATAAATCATTTCACGTACATTCGATTAAGTTCACATGAAGAGGTGGAGCTATCCCTTCTTTGTCCCTGCTTAGGACAAGAAATAAGGATGTTTAAATGCCTCAGACAAGGGCTCAAATATATTCAGCCAGTTTACAGTATTTTGGAGGAAGAGCTAATGCTTGGTGTGTATACACGTACCATATGCCTTCTGATCTGAAGGGTACTGAAGCCCCACCACGTGCCTGGGATGAAGGAGACAGTCAACACACGGAAGACTCTGCCCATCACAACTCCTATCTGCTTGCCATTGAGAACCAGAGGAGGAAAGAAGAAAGAAAGGGAAGGAGGGAGGGAGAAAGGAA